GAAGAGCTTATCTTCATAATTAGTGTTTAGAACAGATACAAGACGTTAATTTGTCTTTCAAGTCAAAGTTGGTAGAAAGAGTCCGTGACACCTTCTTCCCACCAATTTATCAGATATTGTAGAGCTGCACTTCCTTCATGTAACCTTTCAAAGCAATTCAACACAACATATAGTATTAACATTTATTGGGCTAGGGCTAGACAGAGATGGTCCTTTTATTTTGGAATTCAAACAAGAAGACCATTGGTAGTCACTGAGATCATATCAAGTGATTCATCATTTTACAGATCAATTGCAAACATGGAGACAAAATCAATAATCTTGTACATCTTTTAAAGTCCATTTTGGCAGGTCTAGTCTCCAAAATTCAAGCAATGAGTTCAGATCAAAGACATTGTCAAAATTTTTGAACAAATTATGAAAATTTCTGAAAATTTCTCTCTAGCGTATTGTCAGATATATGTAAACAATTTTATTTCACTTTTGATCTCTGAAGTTACATTTTCTTTTTTTTTTTTAACGCAGTTTAATGACTTTCCCATATTATCTTCTGAATTTATGACACATGTTTACTATATTGAGAGTGGGGGTCATTATTGTGTTATCTAATTAGAAAGCTGTGTGTTTCTGTAGTACCTCAAGTTTCACAAATCCTTACAGACTTAAGGCATATACTGTCTGGGAGTCAAGTAGGTAGCTTGCACTTGAAAACAGGTTTTATTTGTTAAGTAAAGAGTGCAAGAAAATTATCTTTTTGTAAATGGATTTTTTTTCCTGAAGGTAAAAGAGAAATTCTAAAAATGTGGGAAAAAAAAAAATGTATATGTTCCCAACAGGAAATTCTGTCCTGAACTAGGTATAGCATCTTTTTTTCCCATATCAGTACAGAGGTATTTTTCAAGCTTATAAACATTGCAGTTGCAATCTCTCACCATACAACTTTAATCTTGTCCAGACTGATTCTAACCTATTTCTAATTAGATCCAGTGGAAGAAGTGCCAGGCAGAGATACCTCTTTCAGTTTGAAGACTTTTCTATACCTTCAGCTCAAGACTCTAGAAGATTTTCTGCCTTTTAAAGTCCACTGAAAACAGAAGCTGCAGGGTAGCTGTTGTATTATGCCTTTTGCTGATTTTGTAAAGTCATCAGTATTATATCCATAAAACTACTGAAATGCCTTGTACCTGTTTAGATATACCCATAGACAGCTGTAGGCATTTTTGAGTATGATAAATGTGATGTGTAGTAGTGTTTTTTTCTTAATAGATTATTTAGGCAATAAAATGCAAATATGTAACTAAATCTCTCAGAGTTTTGAGACCTTCATTTCTTTTCCTCACAGCAAGACTAAAATTGCCCAACATTCAGTAAATAAAATAATAAATAAATAAATAAAGACCCAGGAGATCTCCTTTATTTGTTGATAAACTCATGTGAAATTCATACCTTATTATGTACAGGTTTTACCAGTCTGTGAAATTTGTTTCTGGCAGTGAGAAACCTGCTTCGTGATACTCTTCTATATAAACATTGGAATTCAATTTCACACTGCAGAGTCAATGTATGTCAACTCATTTTATCAAGTAAACAAAGTAGAAATTACTGTATCCATAGTTCTACTTCCCACAGTAGTTCTTTACTTAAAAGTCTTCCTGACACTTGTCTCTAGTGAGATTTGATCAAAATTAAATTAAAAACAAAAGACCTCACACAGGTGCGCTTTGTGTTTTAGATCAGGTTTCTCATGAATATGGGAAATGAATCCTAAAAGTCATAAAATGCAATCTTCAGTTCTGGAGCTGGAATACAGAGGGCTGCCTGTCCAGATAGCAACATCTTTTAAGGCATTATAATCACAGATGTATTAGTAATAGCAGAAAGCTCAAATCCTTCTCCATAATGTGCACCCATGCTTGCACCCTAACTCAGGTTCATCAGCCATGCTGCCTCTCAAATCATGTCCAAGGACTGGTCTTGCAGTTTATGGCAGAAATCAAGGACCAAAGTCTAGAAGCATCCCTCAAATTGAATTTTCTAGCACATTGTTGTCAGAGTGGCTTTGATAGGTCCAGGATTCATGCTGAAAACTGGGGTTGGATTTGTGGGGGGTTGTTTTTATTTTCTTTTGGGCAAGTCTTCCAGAAAGGTTAACAGGGGACCAATGAACTGTACCAGCATAGAAGAATGGTTCAAACAAAAAGTGGCATCACTCACTTCCAGATATAAAATACAGATCAGCCATCTTCCCTGATTTTATCTTGAGTGTTTTGAACCAAGGTAGAAAGATGTGTGGGAATAAATCTTTTACATGGTTGCTTCAAATGAACTTTGATGTTCTTCAAAAGCTGAATGGTCAACTAGTCTTGATCGTTTTTCATAGTGAGTAGAGTTGTTACTTATATTGCTGGATTTGCAAACAGTACAAGCTTTTTTGAGGAATCTTAGTCTACTGTAAATTGGGGCAGTGAACTCCAAAGCCCTTTTTCGCTATCTGCATGGTTAGAGGAGTAAAACTGGATTCTGGGTAGCAATAGCAAAAAATTAAAATGTAGTCAAAAATGACTGGGAAGAAATGTCTTTATTCAGAATAACTTCAAAAGTTAATTTAATAATGAAATAGTTTATTGCTAATTAAAAACATAATAATTTAATGAGAAGGAAATTATTAAGCATTATTAAAATTTGAGTTATAATTGTTAGAAACCATCATTTCTCAGCTAACCTAGGAGGCTTCCATTTTAAATTGTTTTTCAGTTTTACAAGTGATCTAAAAGTGACTTAAAACTGGCTTTGGTCATAAAGCAGGTTGTTTATTTTGTTTTGGTTTTGTAGTCATAGTGTGAATAAAAAATATTTCTCATCCTTTATATTTCATCTATATAAATTGATTTTTTTTTTCTTTAAGTGTTGAATTCCTATTGTTGATTCTTGGGTAAGGGCATGTAAGAATTTCACTGGGGACCTTCAGACCTTGGTAACAAGCAAATGCTATGGAAGCTGTAGTTTTAACTGATGAGAAGCTTGCTGTGACATGGAGACACTGCTGCATCACTGGAGTGAAGGACTGAAACCAGAACTTGTGTTTTTAAAGGTGTGGAATTACCCTTCCTGGGCTAAAATGTCAAGTCCTCCTACCACCCCCCTGGCAAAATCATTATGGTGCTTATCCATAACTTTGCAGAGGCAAAGCCGTTTCCAGGCAGGAGGTAGTTAAAGGATGAGTGTGAGCTCCCCGGCTTCTCCTTGCCTGTGTCTGAGTGTTTTGCTTTCTTTGCTCGGTGACCTTAGGTACAGACGTGTTTCCTTGTGCTGCACTTCCTTTGCCTGGTCTGCTGGGAGTAGTGGCACGAACAGAGCATTTGAGTAGCTGCTTGGAAGATAAACTCCTGGTTGTTTCAGGAGGCGGATCTGGAATTACCTTCCATCAGCCAAATGTTGACCTGGACGAAGAGGGTATCAAAGCATGCTCTTGCAGAAGGGTTTGCCATGCTGATGCGTCCAGGCTCCTTCCAGTTAAGGATTGCATGGCACCGTTTGTAAGACAGTTAATGCATATTCCTTCTTTCCTGGCTGCATTTCATCGGGTCTGCTTCCTTTCCATTCATTGCTGCAAATACAGCATCTGTTGTTTTCATGTGGCATAAGGGCGTGTGCAGATTCGCTTCCCTCCTGACGCGTTTCACTGCTGGCCTGTGTGGAGTTAGCAGAGGGAACAGCTCTCCTCCAGAGAGTGTTGTACTAGAGGAGGGAGATACCTTTGTAACTAGTGGTATATCAGAACTGTGGTAAAGGGCTGTTTTGGTGTGCAACAGTGTATGTGGGTAGCCAGTGGCTGTCTCCTTCCCTTCTGAAGATGAATTGGAGTGTCATCCCAGCCTTGTTTGCTTATAGCCTGTCTCGTTCTTGCTCTTTTTGGTTCTGTTGTTGTTATTTACTGAAAAACTAAGCATCCAGTAGAGCCAATGCACTCTCTCTGGTCTGCTGCCTCCTTTTTGTAACACCTGGGAGTGAAACCTCTTGGCACGCTGATAAAGGCTGAAACACTGAGAGAGCACACGGAGCATCTGTTGATTCAGAATCACTCTTCTGTGTTTAAGTTATTCAAAGGGGCTTAGAAGCCTCAGGCTGCAACGGCATGTAATAAATGGGATAATAACGGCACATGGTTCCACTTGGCATTAATTAGAACTAATGAAATGGAACATAGTAGTCAGTGGCTAATCCTCCTACACTTCTGACTCCAGGAATTTACAACCTTTGCAGAGGAAAATGTGTTGCATAGGTTTTAATTATTGTTGTTCTTGCTTCCTCTATGTGTCAACTTTTAAGAGCAGCAGTATGTTAAATGAAGCTGAAACTATAATATATGGGATGTATTAGGGGGTTCTTTTTCTTCCTTTTACTTTTTTTTTTTTTTTTTCATTTTTATTTTTTTTGGAGTGAAAATTAGTATTCCAAACCAGCTTTTTAAATTGCTTAGTTCAAAAGACAGCATTTGGGGAAGAAAAAGGAGAGTTGAGTTCTGATTTCTACCCTTGCACTGAGCTGCTCCCAGGGTCTGAGCGGGCTCAGCAGTCCCTATCCCTGTGCATCCAGAGGTGCCAGCTTCCAAGAACGAGCCAGATAGGCTCCCTTGCTGACTCAGCTGCAGACTTTGTATTATCTTAAGCAAATGGTTTTCCACAATTTGGTCACTGGGTTTGAAAAATCATTTGAAATCATTGAGACTGTACGTAGCCCCTGGGGGTAGGTGGGAGTAATCCAAATGCTTCTCAGTGCATTTGTATGCACGTATTACCAGTGTTCCAGATCTGTGCAGTACATGGAGACTTGAGTTGTTCTTACAGTTTTCAGCTTAGGGTTTTGTTGTTGTTGTTGTTCCTATTTAAGAAAAAAAAGGCTTGTTTTCTCTTGATCCAGAGGGTTACTTTGGGCTTACATGTCTGTGTCTCTGCAATCTGTTCTAATAGTTTCTCCTCTGTCTTTTGTTGTGTTCACAGCCTACATGCTGACATACTACCAGTTTTGTTTCCAAAAGAGGAGTTCACAGAGCTACACAGTGCCTGATCCAAGCAGCTGCGTTGATGTTCTTTACTGGACCATGTAGGTAAAATTCAAAAATATATATATTCACAGTATGCCTTTCCAAGTATTGAGTATATCAGGAAACAGTTGATTTTTGGTAACAGTACTCACTTTGGTAAGTCAGGATCTTTTGGAATTTATCGACTACAAAATCATCGAATAAGGCCCTCCAACTTTGTGATGTGTTTTATTCTGAACAGACATGCAGCTGTAGACCATCATACGGAAGTGTTTAGGCTACTTGCCACATCTACTTTCAGATGCTGTGAACGCTAGGAACACTTTGATGCCTGTCATTCTGTAGGTATACCTGAGCTAACTTAACAGTAGGAATAGTAACATTAGTGGCTGCAGTGGTTCAAATTTTGGCTTAGGCACAAAACCCAGCAGAAAAATTGAATAAATTCTCCAGAAGTTGGCAAACCTTGAGCTTCTTGTTATTACAACTGCATAATTAGCAGAATAAGAACTGGACTGAGCAGGTTTACATGAATGAAACTGTGCCTGTTTTAAGTGTACAACAGTATCATGGTTTGGGTAAGTGAAAGAAAGATAATTTCAGGTTATTCCTGCTATCTTGAGCTTCTGCACAAACCATCATGTCTTCTGTGATTTTCAGACAAAACAGAAAATGTAGCCCATATTTCATCTCCAGGATAATTACCTGCAGAATAATTCAGGCTTGCTGTAGTAAAGATGATAATCCAGCAAGGAAAATTCAATTTCCAGAAAACTCTGTTTTCCCTTCCGGTTTTAGTATGGTAGTTGAGTTTATTTTCAGCAAGTCATTTCTCCCTGTGAAAGTAAATCTAGGCAAAGAATTGTTCCAGATAAATTGCTAGCATTCATTATCACTTGTCTGCTTTCTCCCTTGTATGTTACACTGTTTTATGACTCAGTTGCAGTGGCATTTAAAATGATTTACATGAATTGTGGATTGGTATGCTACAGCATTAGCATTGTATGTGGTGTTTCTTTCACATTTCTTACATAGTTTTGTAAAACTTCCACCCTGATTTGTATTTCTGATTTTGTGGAAATGAACCATAAACATGGGTATGTAGCAGTGCTTTAGATGATTTGTATTTACACATATAGCCGCACTCCTTACACAGAAGACTGCTCTCCTCACATACTTGCTTTAGGGACTGTGGCACTGTGTGATTGTGATTGTTTCTGGAGTGTGTTGGGACTTCAGTCTCTCAGTTCTGTCTGTATTGAGAAATCTTCTAACCAAGACATCTTAGAAAAGGATTTGCGTAGCATGCTAGCTGGATCTTTATAGCAACAAGTGGTTCAGATGACTCCTGAAGCAAGGCTTATCCTGCTTTCGTATTGTGAAATTAGGACATAACATCTTGCATGCTGTTACACAGCTGGCCATATTCGGTTACAGTTGTTTTTACCTTTCATGTTGTGTTGGCCATATTCCAGCTTTACTTAGAAGTTTTTTCATGTGTTATGTATATGGTAAAGATTTTCAGGTTTCTTTTTTTGCAGGTTCTGTGAATAAAATACTGAAAACACATACATTTCATATATGAGATTCATGTTCCTTGGTGTGAGTATCCAAAATCTTCCTCAGCTTGTAACTAAGGGGCAGGGAAGCAATCCCAGAACACATTCATTATGCTGGATACCGAGTCTGAGGAGAATGTTTTCTCTGTAGGTTTCAGAGGCACAACTATTATCTGACAGGAATTTTTAAATTGATTCTGAAATTCAGAATATCCCAAAGGAACTAGAATTTGACTGTGTTCAGTTTCAGCCTAAAAAGAAAGTAACAAAGAAAATGCTTGGATTCATATAATTCATTTCTACAAAATTTGTTACAGGCCACATCTCTCTCCTTTTGTAAGGTTTTGTTTATGACTTAGACTGTAATATGATGGTGTGGAAACCCTGAGCATAAAGTAATGAGTTAAAACACCAAACCATATACTCCAGTCTAGAAGAAAAATATTAGTATAGGTTTCAGAAAGCCAGAAATGACTGTCTTTTTGTTGTTGTTGTTGTTTATTTGTTTTTCTGATACTAAATTAACAATAACAAAGCCACTCATATAAATATATGTAATGGATTGTGTTCTGTTTACACTGTTGTGCTACCTCTTAAGGGATTATATGTATGAAGAAATAATACAATAATATGCTTTACCACCCACAAAGGGGCATTGCATTAAACAGAATTTGTCAGCTCATCTGAACACATTACATTAGTTAAGAGGAGCAGCATCATTTTGCTTCACAAAGGTACATTAGCTCTGCTGTTTGGGCTGTCAGAATCAAAAAATCTTTCCTGAACACAATGGTAGTGGTCACAATGACAAGCATTTGTCATTTAACACAAGTGCTCCAGTAGCTTTTAGCAAAGTATAGATGTCTGCAAAGTTTGTGGTAAAGATCAGCTTTCTAATATGAAGTGCAAAGCCCAAGACACTTGAGGTAACTTTTGAGTCTGTTCTAGATAATGGCTGATCTAAAAGGAGATAGAGGAAATGTCTTTTCTTAGAAAGTTTGTACAGCAACATATCCATGTTGGTTATTTTTAAAATAGTGTTAAAAATCATTCATATTTATTTTGCTTGTTTTGCATTAATAAACATGATACAAATTCTTTCTGCACATTTAAATATCTTCTTTAAACTCTATTAAATCACCAAAATCTACTCCTTTGAAGGGAGTTTGTGCATTAATGCAATCAAACTCTAGAGCATCAATGTTTGGCATGGAAGTACTTGCTGTTCTTCATTATCCCATGAAACATCATTCAAACTCTAAACCCAAACCTAATGAGAACTTGTATTTTTATTTAATTATTCATTTAGTTTTAGAATTGGTAGTAGGTTAGAGGAAAAGATCAGGCTTGACAAAAAAAAGAATAGTCAATTCAAACCGTATGTAGTTTGTGAATACAGTTGTCATGAGTTCATAACATAAGCTGCCAGATCTTACATTGCTTACTTGATTTGTTCCTGTTTAAACAACCCCCCTTTGAAGTGATTTGGCTTGACATTATTTCAGGGAAGCATCACAGTTTAGACCATTGTATATTTATGGCTAGTGTGTTAGTTAATGATTCATCCATGAGGTGTTAGGTGCTATTATGGTTTAAAAAAGTGATTAATGGCTGAAATCAATTTTATACAGGTAAAAATATGCTTTTTTTCACAGCTATTTTTTTTACAGCTTTTTGACTGTAGTTATTTAACTGAGTCCAAGCAGTGGCTATTGATGGTGAGGGGAGCACATAGACTGGGGTTCAGTTTGTGCATTCATATTCACTTACTTACTCATAAATGAAATACTTGAATTACTTGTAGTAAAAAAGGTAACACAAATCATTTGTAACATGAATCTTGAGAGAAAGTGTATACTTTATCCTAGAAAGCAATTTGTTACTTAAATGAAGGATGGAAACATTTACGTATTTAAATTTCAGTATATAAAATATAATTGTTTTCAGATGTAATTCCCGCTAGAGTATAGTGTAAACAATTATTTCATTACATGCATTAAAAATGGAAGTGGACTGGTTATGTCTGAATTCCATTGCTTCTAAAACCCCTAACTTTTACCAGTGAAGATCTTTTATTTATTTTTTTTTTTTTGAGGGGAGACTATCAGTTTTTGGAATTGCAGAATTCTATTTCTTCTGGCATTGAAAAAAAAACTTGGGTTTTCTTGTCACGTACTTCTCCAGACTGATCATGTTTAACTTGCGAGGAGTGACTAGTTTGCAGCTGTAGGTGGTATGTGAGATACAGACCTCAGGAAGAGCATGATTTCCATAACCACTTCAAAGGAAATACATTATAAATAAAATACATTTCTCTGGGGGCTTACAGAGCCATTCTGTTTATAATTTAAATTACATTAAGCTAAGTAAAATAGTACAGTAAAACCCTCAAGGGAATTAAGTTTGAACATTACATTACTTCCATTAATTGGAAGTATTTTACTCTCTCTCTAATAGTTTATTTTTCATTGAATATATATATAATTAAAAGTGTTGTCATTATAACAGTACTCATTCTTTCCCATTCTGTGTTCCAAGCCCTTCTGTTCAGTTTATTCCAATAGTTTTGTTTGCCTACCATCCTTCATTTCTCACTGCTTTATTTCTGGTGACAATCCCTCCAAGCATCAGTGTACAACAGAAGATGACCGTTGCCATTTGGCAGATGTTCTGCTTAAGCAAACTCATACTGGAACTGAGACTCCTGACCAGCCTGAAGTTCTGCATTATGCCTGGGGAGCGTAAGGCTTTCTTTTGTTAGAGTATTTTAGAGTCTGCTCTTCCAAACCGCACAGCTTGCTTCTTCCAGGTTATTTGCAGAGGTAACTGTTACGTGGGGGCTGTAGGATGTGAGAATCCACTTGTCTCCCTGCTTTATAAATTTTACTTTTTACTTATAAAACTCAGAGAAAGAGAGGAGATTCTGTACAAAAGTACGTACGTGCATATGTGTGTGTGTGCATTTTGCATATTTGTAGATATAATGTCATACATGTTTGTGTATGCGTCTGTGTGCAGAAATCGTATGATTGGGTATACATACAGTTTCCCTTCTTTTCTTGCTAGAAATTTATGCCTACTCAGTTTCATATGGAATCCTAATATCATATTCTACTTTAAACCATTTGAAGATAATATGACTTCCAGAAGAGGGTGACAGGATTAGCACTAGGAAAATTTTGGAATACCTTAGAGAGATACCTAATACCTAGATACCTAGAGTGATTTATTCTTCTTTCCTTTTTCACCCTATAGCAAGAGACCATCCAGCTTGAACTAAATCAGGTTATCATTCTGAACAGCAAGGAAGGCAGTAAATCTGTAGTGCCAGGCTCCTCTAATATTTGCAGCTTTTCAATATGGTTATCTGTAGAAATGATCTAAGCACATATAAGCTTAGAGAAGCTGAAGCAGCTTGTATAAGCGGGGCAGTCCCATATGGGATACTTACTCCCATTTTAGAGTCAGCTTTAAACCAGCTGCTAACTTCAAATTAATTC